TCTAATGTGTCCAGGTGGCACACAGTGTGTCTGTGACCCTGTAGGTGACAGAAGAGGCACTGTGGGCGGTCCACATCAGGGAGCAGTCTGGGAATCTCCCACTCAACACTGCTGACATGGGGCCCAGTCCCTTCTGGAGTGGGGGCTTCCTGCACACTGTGGGGTATTGGGCAGCAGTGTCCACCCCCCACCCTATGCCAGTCACATCTCTCCTGGCTGTGATACCTACAGATGTTCTCAAGACATGGCCTAGTATCCCCTGGAGCAGAATCACCCTGGATTAGGGGATTCCACCGATATCCAACATCCCCCGCCGCAGGAGATGCAGGAGACTGCATCTCACAACCATGTGACGTCCTAAGATGCTGTCAGCACCAAAAGGCCCCCATTGATGGGAAGGAGTTACTGTTTGTTGCTAAGTGCTGTGGAGGTGGTTCTAACCGATAGGTGGTTCTAACTGAGTGGCTGGTGGGTTTGAACCAACTTTGCGGTTAGCAGTTCAGCGCGTATCCTACGGTACCACACCCGGACAGAAGAGAGAGAAGGGAAATTACAGGAGCTTGACTGTCTCCCCCACCCCCGACCCTGGTTTACAACATCTGACCCACTGGGAGTTTATTCTGCTGCAAGATAAGGGATTGGATCTCAAAACTCAAAAATCTCAAAACTGCTGACATGGGGCTGGATCCTTCTCTGGGGTGGAGCCACCCTGGGTACCGTAGGGTATTGAACAGCATCTCTGGTTTCTACCCATCTGATGCCAGTAGTACCTCTCCCCAAGTCACAGCAATATAAATGTCCCCAGACATGGCCCAGTGTCCCCAATGTGAGGTAGGGGACAGAACTGTCCTTGTTAGAACCCAGTGGGCTGCAAATTGGGAAAGGACAGAGCACAGTAAAGAACTGACTTGTGTCAGCAAATAGCTGGTAGCGTCGTGGTTCCGACTTGGTCTGCTAACCTCAAGGACAGCAGTTTGAAACTACCAGCAGTTCTGAGGGAGAAAGATGAGGCTTTCTGATCCCATAAAGATTTACAGCCTCAGAAACCCTATGCTGTCACTATGAGTCGGAACCGACTCCACGGCACACCAGCCAATACAGCAACCACTGGCCCGAGGAACTGTGGAGAGCTTGAAGTAGGGCCAGGCTGAATTAGCAAAAAAATACCCGAAAAATGTTAACATGGTAAGTACCTCTATCAAAAAGTTAAAGACCATAGAATGATCTTTTCCACCTATGGATTCCATATTGAATAGGTAGTATTTTAGCTGTTTAGTGCCATCGAGTCGATTCTGACTCATAACTGACCCTGTACAGGGTTTCATGGAACAGCTGGTGAATTTGAACCGCCAGCCTGTGGTTCAAACTGACATTGCAATCCAGTACTTTACCCAACAGCTTGTTGTGAAGTGCCACTGAGTGTTCCGACCCATAGTGACCCTGTATAGGGTTTCCAAGGAGTGGCTGGTAAGTTTAAACTGCCGACCTTATGGGCCAACGCACTAACCCACAGCGTCACAACAACTGGATGGGGGAGTGAAATGAAACTATGAAATTGATCTCGCCTGTCTGTCCCCTCTGTTCTCGGTGTCCCACTGTAAACTCACAGATCTGCTATGCTCTTCATTCGTGCCCCCGCTTTCACCTGGAATTCCATCAGGCTTCGAGAAAGGAGTGAGCCATCCCCGGGCCCGGGGCTCCTTCTGTGGAGAAGTCCGCAGGATGACGTAGGCAAGCAGTCACCCGAGAGCCCAGCTTCAGAGATGGAACATGCTGGGCTGCGAACCTCAAGGTCAGCAGTTTGAAACTACCAGCTGCTCTGCGGGAGAAAGATGAGGCTTTCTGCTCCTGTAAAGATTTCCAGCCTCGGAAACCCTGTACAGGGTCGTTATGAGTCGGAACTAACTCCACAGCACCTAACCACCACCACCCTGTTGTCACCTACAAACTGTGGGCTGTCTGGACTCCTTTTCAACTTTTTATTGTGAATGGAGAGAAGGTTTACAGAGCACACGATCAGTTTTACATCCAACAAATCACACACATCGTTCCATCTCACTGATTGTAATCCCCTTGTGTGAAAACTGAGCTACAGGAGTGATTCAGTTCCAGACCTGAAGAGTGGCTAAGGCCGTAATCTCCAGCATTCTACTAGTGTCTGGCCAGTAAGTCTGCTCCTTATGATTTTAAGTTTCTGCTCCACATGATTTAGGGCAGTTGGTAAGTGGTGGCTGGGCACCATCCAGTTCTTCTGATCTCAGAGTTGTGAATTTTGTTTTTCAACTGAGTTATATATTTCTACCACACATACACAGAAACAACGAAACAAATGCGCACCCACAGTAGCTGACATTTTCTTCTAACCAAGCATATACACACATAAAGCAGAAGATACACATAGAAACCCCCGATGCGTGAGTCTAAAGCTCTCAGGTTGGAGGCTCTTTCTTTTGCAGGGTGGGCAGATTCCAACTGAGCAGTGTGGGGTCACAGGTGTGACATGTGGCCCTCCAATAGTTATCAATTTGACCACATTATTTGGTGTTAACCATCTCAAGGTTTAGAGATGTAACCAAACCCACTGCTGTCTAGCTGACCTCGACTCCTAGTGACCCTGCAGGACAGAGCATAACGGCCTCAGGGTTTCTGAGACTATAAATTTTGATGTGAGCAGCCAGCCTTGTTTGTCCTGCTACACTCCTAGGACCCCTGCTATGAAGAACAAGGACCCCAAGACACCCAGTGCAAACTCTTGTGCTCTCTGCATGGTGGTGGTGGTTATGTGCCTTGGACATGAATCCGACTCATAGCGACCCTGTACAGGGTTTCTGAGGCTGTAAATCTTTACAGGAGCGGAAAGCCTCATCTTTCTCCTGCGGAACAGCTGGTAGTTTCGAACTGGTGACCTTGAGGTTTGCAGCCCGATTCGTAACTACTACGCTACCAGAGCTCCTTTGCAGTGCTCTCTGTATGATGTTGCTCTAAATCTCAAGCTGCTCTAATCAAAGTCCATCCTTAAAAACAAAAACTCCAGTTTGTACAAGTCATAAAATCCTCATACATGTAAACAGAGTACCACAGGGCTGTTGGGGGGGAGCGGATCAGGGTTCCTAGCACGCCCGACAGCTGAGCCAGACGATGCCACCTGTGGGTGGTCCTCCCAGAGATTAAAACCAGCAATCCCTGACGCAGGGCAACCGACCCCATGTGTCACGGGACTTCTCGGGAGAAAAGCCCAGCTATCTCTACTTCTCAAACAGCAGCCACCGATCCCCCGTGAAGGCCACTTCAATTTGGACCCAGTGGAGCCACCATGATCTAGAACTGACTCAGTGACAACCAGGGAATGAGGTGGGAGCAGGGTGCACCTGGCACATGCGAGTACGTGTACCCACCCCCCGCCCCCCGCAGCCAGAAAGTCGGTTCTGATTCCTGGCGACCCTGGGTGTGTCTGAGTACAACTGAGCACCGCCACGTTTACACGGCTGATTTCCCAGTGACTGCCAGAGCTCTCTTGTCCAGTGTCTCTGGGTGGACTTGGCCCCTCTGACCTCGAGAGGCTGGACCCTTGAAGAATAGATGCAGCCTGAGAGCACGCTTATTTTGTTTCGTCCAGATGACTAGCCGCAGGTCTCCACCTTCAAAACCTGACGTTTTTGGCTTGTTTTGTTTTTTTTGGTGTGTGTGGGGGAGGTGGGTGTATGGATTCCTAGGGTGGCGTTGTAGGATAAGCACCTGACTAGGAACCACAAGGTCAGTGGTTCACACTCACTCACCAGTCCGAAAGCCGGATGAAGGGGCCACACTCTGTCCTCTTCGGTATCCACAGAATAAAGACACGGACTAGAAGGATTTCCCCAAGGAGAGAAAGGTCAGTCCAGCAGTTCCCACTGGACCGCAAGCTTTGCTGATTTTTGCTACTTCCTCTGCAAAGTGCCCGTAGATAACTATCAGCCGGTTTCAAGCTATCAGGAAGTACGGAGGGGGACAGCTCTCTCAGAGACTCAACCCTGCCCACCGCCACTTCCTATTCCCCGAAGCCCCAACAGGACTGGGCCCCGGTTGTCTCAGGGTTTGAGCCCACTTGGTCTGACAAGTCAAGAGTGACCACACTGACCAAAACGCAGGGTCTAGTCAGGTCCCTGAGCGAGGACTGACGCGAGACCTCCCAGCTGCTCCTGCGGATTCACAGCTGCCGAGCGCCGCGCACTCCTGACTGGCGGGGATGGTACCAGCCACCCACATCTGTGACTTTGTCTGCTGGATCGGCTGTGGTCTTCGCCACACTGACAGCGAGGAAGCCCGGCACTTCCTTTCTGCCACGCCAACTCTCAGCTCAACTGCAGGAGAAGGGACTGAGTACCTGATGGGGGCGCCAGGCTCCCCACGGCAGGGCCTGAAGGGGACCAGTGCTGCGTTCTGCTCTGTACATGAACCGCCTGTGAGGAGGGTTCCACCTTCCTCCCCCATTTCTGCGAGGCCCCGCTGAGGCTGACCTCACCGGAAGCGTCCCGTCACTATGGAGTTGATGCTGATAGCTCCTGGTGGCACATGTGGGTCAGGGTAGTCAGACTCCACAGGACTTTCAATGGCTGCCCTCTGAGAGTGCAGAGCCAGGCTTTTCTTTGCAAGAGCCTCTGGGTGAATTCAAAGTGTCCACCTTTTGGGGAACAGGGCAGCATCCCTGTCTGCACCCCGAGGACACCCAAGCCAGAGGCTAAGGCCACTGCACAAACCGAGCATCACAAAGAGCACAGTAAGCAACTGTTTGCTTTCTTGGCAGGTTTTTTTTTTTTTTTTTTTTTTTAAATCTAGGAAAGCAGGGACCCAGAAGACCACCCAAACCATGGCGTTCCCCAGAACCCAGAGAGTGACCCCAACTGTGACAAGAGGGAGGGTAGGGGTGGGCCCTCCCTAGAGGGGCTGGGGCGCAGGGGTGGGAGAGCTGCAAGGGTGGGGCCTGGACAGGGACGGAGGCCCCACGTCATCATCACCATCGTTCACACTGCGGTACGCGTGGGTGTGCTGGGCTGGTTCAGCCGCAGCGTTTTACACAACCAGCCTGCAAAATCCACTTCTTCCACCTCGGACCGTTTGATGAAGGTATGGTTCTGGAAGGGAAAGAGGCAGGTAAGTGGCTGGCCTGGCACAGGATACCAAGGGAACAAGGACATCGCATCCCACCCTCCACAAGAAGCCGACGCATCTGATGGGCTGGTTCACAGAGGCAGCAATGAATGGCAGACTCAGAGCCTGGGACCCAAAGGTGCGGATGTGGGGGCACGAGGGGCCTCCGCCTGCACTGCTGACATGGGGCCAGGTCTTTCGCTAGGTTCCTTGGTCTCCACCTATCAGATGCCAATCTGACCTCCGGTCATGACATGGCCCAGGCTCCTGGGTGAGGCCCCTCTGATCTACAACATTCTGCCTGATATGGCAGCCACTTACAACCTGAGGCTACTGAGCCCTCCGGACGTGCCTGGTGTGACCCAGGACCATGAGAAGGAATTAATTCTGGATTCAGTGAGACAGGCCAGCGGCTTCCACACAGGATGGCGCCACACTAGGGATGAACGATTCTGGGGCCGGGGCTAGGCAGGGGAAAGAGAAAGGGGGTCAAAGCCCGCCTAGAAGCAGTGGGGGCTCAGAGGCAGAGTCCTAGCCTTCAGTGAAGGAGACCTAGGCTTGCTTCTTGGTCAGTACACCTCATGTGCAGAGCCGCCACCTGCCTGTCAACGGAAGCCTGCGTGTGGCTAGGACAATAAACAGGTTTGCACCGTGCTTCTGGGCTGACAAACTAGGAAGAAAGATCTGGTAATCTACTTTCAAAAATCAATAGTGAAAACTCCCGGGGGTTTATCAATAGCTGTAAAATATGTAAAAACATATCCACCCTCAAAACATGGAAAAGCATGCTAATGTTACAGAGGTGCAACTTTTTGTCTCATACCCTGTGGTATAAGAGGTCACAGGGAAGGGGCCCAGTCACGTGGTGCTGGTGGGTACCTATCCCCACAGCCCTTGACAGAGTCATCTGGGGAAGAGTCACAAAAAAAAGTACAAATGTCCCGATCTACATTACCCCAGAAAACGTAGGTGACAGTTCACCCGAGCACATGCAGAAGGACGGATCTCAATGGGGTTTCTTGCAGCATCAGTGATCACAAAGGATCAGAAATAACCTAACTGTCCACACGGACTGATCCCGAATTACGACCAGTCTATGCAGTGGGGCAGCACGTAGCTCCAACACCACCACGGTGAGGAAGTTCTCTATGTGCCCCGAGTGAAAACACCCCGCGTGCGGGGCGACGTTCTGCAGCGATGTCTGCTGCGACAGGGCCGAGGGGTAGGGGACAAGTACCAGGAGCTCATGTCTCTTAACTCCGTTTGCCACTAACTTTCTGAAGCCCCCTCGTGTATGTGAACGACACACAGAAAAATCCCCGCAGGTGACGTCGGTGTGGCTCGTGTATAGGCCGAGCCCGTTCACTGGGAACATGCCTTTCCATGTGTGCAGACACCACCTCCCTTGGTGCCTGGGGTCAGCGTGGGCTAGGGCTGATTGGTGGGGGCAGCCGGTATGCAGTCAAATTGACTCCGTCACAGAGCGACCCATATAGGGTTTCCCAGGCTCTAAATCTTTATAGAGCAGAAAGCCTTGGTGGATTCGAACTGCCGACCTTATAGAGCAGAAAGCCTTGGTAGATTCGAACTGCCGACCTTGCAGTTAGCAGCCCCACCTACTATGCTACTGCGGCTTCTTATCTCTGCTGGAGGATCAGGAGGGTGTCTTGGTGGTGCGATGGGTTGTGTGTCAGGCTGCTAACCCAAAGGCTGGAAGTTTGAACCTACCAGCCTTTCCGTGGAAGAGGAGGCAGTCTGCTCCCACAAAGACTGTCCGCTTCAGAAATCCTATGGGGGCAGTTCCAGTCTCCCTTATAGAGCTGCTAGGAGTCAGAGCCAACTCGGCAGCAGTCAGTTAGGGGATCACAACTGCAAGTCACCACCTGGGACCACCTACAGACACCACTGGGGAGGCAAAAACACCCGGCTCCTGAAAGGTGAAAGGTGGTCGTGGGCCTGGTTAACAAACCAAGGCAAACACACTAACAGAGCTCCTCTTGTTGCCAGAGCAGCAGCCGCAGTTACAAGAGCCCACCAGGCTGCTCTGGATTGTCACGATTACACTGCATCCTCTGAAACCCCAGCTTTCTTGGCCAGAGGTCGTCTCAGTGAAAGGTGTGTTTTAAGCCAATCACTTCGGAGATGGAAAAGGAGCAGACGAGCCAGAGAGGCGAGCAGAGAGGCCCCATCACAAGGTGGAGACCGGCCAAGAAGCAGAAACTCAAAGACACAAGAAGCTTTCCTAGAAGCGACGGAGGTAGAAAGTCATCCCCGAGCCCGCGCTCAGTTTGGCCTTGTGGGTGCCTGTGTTATGGTCCCGGCCACACCAGAAGCTAAGACAACACTATTAGTACAATTAAGACAGCTTGTTATGGACTGATGTCTCCCCCTAAACATCAGGGTGTCAATCCTCACCCCTCAACCTGTGGATGGAACCCCATTTGGGACTTGTTAAGTGCTGTTGAGTCGATTCTGACCTACAGCGACCCTGTATAGCGTTTCTGAGGAGCAGCTGGTGACCATTTGGGACTCGGCAGGATTAATGCGGGGTGGGTGCCTTTTACGTCAATCTCAAGACATGCCATGGGAAGATCACTGAGGATTGGGGGGACAGAGCTGAAAGGAGACAAGGGGCTTCTACCTGAGGTGGCACCCTGAATTTGGCCTTCTGGCCTGTTGAACGGTGCTCCAGTCACCTGCCCCTACCCCAACACCACGCAGTGCTCCTGTCACAGCCACGTCAGGATGAAGACCCACAGAGACAATGTGGTTTTGACTTATGCAGAGAGAAGAGATCGGTACGGTGTGAGTGAGCGCATGGTGTTACCACGGAAGCTGGTGTGTTTGTGTGGGGTGGTGTCACTGGCCGTCTCATTCCCATGTGTACAGCAGACAAAGAACACGCCTCATTTAAGACACGCTAATGAGAAACCTGGAATCCTGCAGGGCCGTTGGTTCAAACTCACCAGCCGCTCCTTGGAAACCCTACACAGGGTTGCTGTGAGTTGGAACAAACTTGATGGCACTTAACAAGAAACTTGGTGTGTGGCGCTGTAGGATCAGCACTGGACTGTGAACTACAAGGTTGGCAGTTCAAACCCACCAGTTGCTCCTCAGAAACCATATATAGGGTGGCTATGACTTAGAACCAGCTTGACAGCACTTACCTGCTACGTGTCAGCAGCAGGACTGAGGACGTGCTGAAGCTTCTAGAAAGACTCAGACAGACTCACCCTCCCCACCCAGTGCTTCCCTAGTCTGTCTTCAGGAACCACTGACCCTCCCCACTGGGCACTCTCTTAGTCTGTCCCCCGGAGGCTCTGACCCTCCCCACCCAGCACTCGCCTCGTCTGTCCCCGGGAACCACTGACCCTCCACACCAGGCACTCGCCTAGTCTGTCTCCAGGAACCACTGACCCTCCCCACTGAGCACTCGCCTAGTCTGTCCCTGGGAACCACTGACCACCCCCACTGGGCACTCGCCTAGTCTGTCCCCTGGAGCCTCAGCACACAGGCACACAACCCTGATAGGCTGGCTGTCACTGCAACTAACAGGTGACTGGGAGGGGTGGTTGGGAGGACATGTCGTTGAGGAATGGGTGGTCTGGGAGGGGCTCACTAAGGGAGAGGGGTGTGGGCCCATGGCCAGAAAGCAGTGAGCCCCTGGCTGGCCTTTGGCAGGGGCCTGGGAACTCCCTGAAAGGTGGCCTGGTTTTTTTCTTTTTCTGAAACACCAGACTCCAACCACCACAAGCCTGTTCCTTTCCCATTCAGCTAGCTGGCTGATGGGCTGGAACAGTGTCTGAGCTGCAGGCGGCAACACTCTGCACCAGGAGATGCTATGTAACGGCAGGCCTCAGGCCTAGTGGCTGACGAGGGAGCCGGGAGCCACACGCCAGTGGGTCTGCAGGTGGGGTACTCAGGTCCCAAGCTTGCGTTTCAAGTCAAAACTACCTGGGTTCCCCGGGGCTGGATGCTATCAGTCCAGAGCTCGGTCTCATGGAGATGTGAGGGGGTGAGTTTAAGGAGAGGGTCTCAGAGACCACCCCCTGGACTGAGGGGCAGGGCCTGCCAGGACTGTGAGACCAAGCCCCAGAATTTGTGGGCAAAGAAAGAGGGGAGGTGGGGAGATCAGCTCCCTACCCACAGTGCTCAGGAGGAACCTCCCAGGGCTCACCTGTCCTCCTGCTTGCCCTGCTGATGGACCAGGGAGACCCAAGGGCTCAGGGGCCTGGCTCTGCCCCAGCTCACCCAGGGATCCCAGCAGCTGAGGGCTCACTGTGGATGCAGGGAGGGGAAAGTGGTGACCCCGCAGGCCCTCTCGGGGGGCTGTCAGTCACATTACTCACCATCAACATCTTCAGGTCAGCACGTTCTGCCGGGTTCTTGATCAGGCTGAGGTCAGCATGGCAGGAGAGACGGGACAGAGAGTTTGGTCAGTGGGAGCCTCAGCTGGTCCCACCCTGAGCACTATCCTGGTTCCTGGGAGGGTAAGCAGCTACCCTTGTGCCTCTTGCTTCACAGGCAGGATGCTGGGGACACAGGGTGGGAACTAACCTCCCTCTTTCCCAGCTCGATGCCAGGAGCCAGCACAGCCATGTTTCAGAGTTATCTCAGGGCTGACCGGTCCTGCCATCACTCACCACCTCACACCGGGAACGACAACACTACAGGGCAAAACCGGATTGTCTCATTCTACAGCTAACCCAGCGAAGGGGCTGCGCAAATGGCCTGTGGGTCGGTGGGTGCCCCCAATGGACAAGGGGTGTGGCAGGAGGGTGCTGGCCCCAGCATGGGAGCATCCCGGAGAAGGTAGCTGGTGGTGGGACCCAGGGGCTGGGAGGGGGTAGCTATTCTGCCCTAAAGGCCCTCTGAGTGTGGATGGGATACCTAGGTTTGGGGCCTAGACAAGGCCTCTGGGATGCTTACCATTTATTTACGAACTCCTGGAACTCCTGGGTGAAGACACCGCTGGGCAGCTTGGGAGGAGGCTGTGGGGAGTAAGAGGAGGGTAGGCTCCACCACTAGCTCAGCTGGGCTATGAAACCACTTGGAAAGGTGCCCACGTCGGGGGACACCACGTACCCCCTGCTCAGGGAGGATCCCTCACTGTCCCCCGGGGCATAGGGACCTCGTAGGACACAGCGGGCAGCATCCCTGCCTCCGAGGGCCCCCGATACCAGAGGCGTTTCAGTTTTTCTGGAACTTTCTGAGTCTCATGTATGGCTATGGTGAGGAGAGCAGGGGTCAGTCTCATCTAGAGATGTCTACGTGCTAACACACCTGTTTCAAGGCTCAGAATGTCCCTAGGTGGGGCCAGGTAGACGTGCTCGTGTGACAGACAACCCAAAGTTGGTGGTTCTGCTTTACCTGGGCTTCACAGAACAAAGGCCTGGAGTTTAGCTTCTAAAACGTTAGCCACTTGAAAACCCCGCGAGCCCAGTCCTACTCTAGCACGAGGAGCCACGAGTCGGAACTGACTCAACAGCACCTGGCTTGGTTGAGGGCTCAAAACGTGACCCCACGGCACATGGGGTCTGTGGAGCACCTCTGTGGATGCGCCCCCCACCACCCGGGAAGGGGTCTGGCTCCCGAGGAAGCTGGCTGGAACAGGGAATGTTAGGGTCAAGTCTCAGAGCCTCCCCTTCACTGCAGGCCCTGGGCATCTCTGCCTTGTCATTGGACCCACCATGCCTTGTGTCACTTTGTGACCTGACCACCGTGCCCTGTCTTGTTCCAGGAGTTAAAAGGCCCCAGAGGCCCACAGATGGCCCAGAAGGGCCCTGTCCCAGCGGTTCTTCCTTGGTTTACTGAGTGGTACAACAAAGGGAATGTGACCACCACCCAGGCCCAGGGTCACCCTGAGCATGAATTCAGGTAATGCTCAGTAATGGGGCCGGTGACGCGCACTGGGCACCAGACGCCAGTGTGCCCTCAAGCCCTCAGCCACCCCTGACAGATGAGAAGAGGAGTTGCCCCCTTTCCAGGGACGAGGGTACACCTGCCCTCCTGGGGAGCAGCAGCCGTTTACATGCTCTGATGCCAAGCTGCCCGGCGACGGGGGGGCTGGAGGGGAAGCCTGACTTAGGTGGAGCAGGAGGAAGGTAGGCTCATGTTTTCACACCTCCCCTGGTCCCCAAATAAACCCCAGTCTGCCTGGTGGACCTAGGGTCTTTTCTGTAACGTATCAGATGAGGATGAGCCCCCGACCCTGCAGCTGTGAGTAGGGTCCAGTCTGCACATAAGGGGCTTCTCTCGCTTGGGCTCCTGTAGAGACGACAGCCTTAGAAACCCTGGGACACTTCTCCTCTGTCCTGCACGGTCGCTGAGTGGAAACTGACAGTGGATTGTATCAGGGAGCCCTAGTGGCGCAGTGCTGGTTAAGGGCTAACTGAGAGACCAGCAGTCCACCTGCAGAAACATGACAGTCTTGGTCGCCCCCCTACGGTGCTATGAGTTGGAATCGACCACGTGAATTTTAGGGTTCTGCGCTATGTTAACGAGGTGATGGTGGGTCCTAAACCCAATCCTTCTGAGTGGTGTCTTACAAACTCACAGAGAGACACAGATAGACAGACACACATGGGAAGACAGAGGTCAGGCAATGGTACAGTTAAGAGTCCAGGATCGTGGGAGCTACTAGAAACGAGGAAAGGAGGAAAACAGGGAGAGAAAGAGGACTCAGTCCTGTGGGCTCCTCAGCTTGGACCCTCCAAAACGGAGCCCATTGATGCTGCTCTTTCCAGGCAGCACCGGGGCCTCTAGGTACTGACCTCATTCACAATGTAGTCCAGCAGTTCAAAGATGGCCATGGCAGGCCGGTTGTCCATCCCGTGACCTGCATGGGAGAATCACAGTAGCAAGGGTCAGCGCCATCCATGGACAGGTGGGTGAACAAAACTGAGGACCACTCAGCGCTGTGATCCTGCTCCTACGAAACCTTGTTGAGTCAGGGTTACAGGAGTCCAGTTAAGCACTGGACTGCTAACCCCAAGGTTAGTGGTTGGAGCCCACCAGCCACTCCAGGAAGAAAGAGGATCCTGGGAAATCCCAGTGGACTGGTGGGCAGTAGGTTTGGTGTTTGCTTTGCTGGGGGGTGGGGGGGACACGGATCCTCCTTTGAGGGAGATGGAAAATGTGGGAATAGAGAAGCGTGATGCTTCAGCTACATGACGAACACTGCAGACGGATAAGATGTCGGTAGTTTGGTTACAGATCTAGTTCTCACGACTAAAAACCTAAGACGAATGTGTGATTCCACCTCCATGCTCAGAGACAGGAAGTGGACTAGTGGCTGTGGGGGGCTGGGTGTGAGAGCATTTCTATCTGGGGGATGGGAAACTCAGAATTGAAGGTGATGCATGTACAACGTGGTGGTGACCGACCCAGATGCTTAAAGATGGTTAAAACGGCAAGCTTCCCAGACTGATCGCTGCTGCTGTTGACAGGTGTCGGGTGAGTCCTAACCCAGAGGGACCCCATGTGATAAAGCAGAATTGCCCCCACGGCTTTCCAGGCTGTCATCTTTACAGGAAGAGTCCTGGTAACACTGTGGGATAAGCAATGGATTGCCAACCACAAGATTAACAGCAGTTCAAGCCCACCAGCCACTGTGTGGGAGAAAGATAAGGCTGTCCCCATAAAGACCGAGAGCCCCCATAAAGACCGAAAGCCTTGAAAACCCTATATGGGGTCAGAATCCACTGCACAGCATGGAGTCTAGCTAAACTAACCGTTCTTTCAATGACATCAGACCAGATGGGAAACTCGCAGAGGCTGAACCGAGGCCCCTCCAGCCTGGGCCAGCCATCTCTCCCCTGAGCCTCACGAAGTGACCACATGAACACAGGGTTCTTTTTGATTAGTGACCATTGACACAGGCCTGATTCCAGAGTGTGCCAAAGTCAGAACCCCTGGACGGGTGAGCCGGGGGCACATGACCTAGCAAGGAACTGCTGGTGGCGAAAGCTGAGGCCCTAAATGACAGGGCACGTGGGTGGTAGACCCGTTTTTGCTGCAGGTGGCCAGCTTGGAGCTTGGCAGCTGGACTTTTGTCTCTTGCATCTGTCTTCATATGGGCAAGAAGACAGGGCCAGGGTGGTGTTGGGCAGCCCGACATGCGTGCCACCCCTCTCCCCTCAGGGAGAGACCTCTATGAAGCCAGGGACAAAGAGGAGCAGAGGGACTATCCCATGGGACAAAGCCAGTATGCTTCAAGGAGCCTGTCTGCCACATCAAAAAGGAGAGGTGCGGGCCCCAAAACACCGTGAAAGCCCTGGTCAGCTCGGCCCGTGCCTCCCACCGGATGACTGGATGATCACAACATGGTCCATGCACGGAACAGGTGACTCGTGAGGATGAACCTGACACCAAGGTCACAATCAGGCATCAGAGGGCACAGTTTGTGTTAGTCTCATTAACATGGAAAGGTCAGAACAGGCCCAGCCATAAAGGAGCTCTGGTAGCGTAGTGGTTACGAATTGGGCTGTGAACCGCAAGGTCAACAGTTCAAAACTACCAGCCACTCCACGGGAGAAAGATGAGGCTTTCTGTTCCTGTAAAGATTTACAGCCTCGGAAATCCTGTACAGGGTCGCTATGAGTCAGAATCAACTTGACGGTACTTAACAACAAAGGCTTGGAAGGAGGCGGGGGATGGGGTGCCACTGCTGAATGCTGAATGGTACGGGTTTCGTTTTAGGAGGGAGGAAGATGGTCTGGAATTAGATATTACCTGACTTTGCCAGATAATGGATACTGCACAACTTCGCAAAAATACTGGCTTGGAAATTGAAGTAGGTGAATTGTATCTTAGTAAAGCTTTGAACAAAAATTCTCACAACTGGTCCTCCAGACTCTTAACTTGACCCTATTGCTGTCACTTGACTAAAAATAAGCCTCAACCTTCTCTCTCTCCCATCCCCCTGACGTGGCCAAAGTGTCCCAGCTTGACCATGTCTAGGAGTCAGGGAGTTCTGCCACACGAGGTGCTGCACTCTAACCTCCAGAAGGTTCTCCAGGGGAAGAGGTGTCTCCCCAGAACCCCGTCTCTCCCAGACAGTGCCTCTGGTGGGAGCGTGTGGAGACTGCATTCACTGAGCCACCTAAGGACGCTCTGAAGCAACACTGGTGGACCTGTCTTTGTATTCGAAGCTTGGCTCAGTCCAGGCACCATGTGAATGGGCAAACCTAGGGGGTAGGTAATCAGCATGTTCACTGAGCAAGTTTTCTGACTTTTTGGTCAATTTGATTATTTTCATGATAAAATGTGGGGAAACCAGCCAACTACAGGCATGGGGCCAGGGAGCTTGTTTCCGGATCCTTTCAGCTGGCAGCAACAGGTGCAGCTGCCCTGCAAGGAATGACTTTGTGACCGTCTGAGGTTGCTGACCATGCCAGCTCTACTCGGGGACAGGTGGTGATGAGAGGGGCCCGGGGAGGCAGCTGCTGTCCCCAGTGGAGGTCACCACCCGCTCAGAGCAGAGGTCCCTGACGCGGGCCGTACCACTGATGGGGCGTCCAGGGGGTCGAGGCCGCGGCGACACGCTGTGGGACTCTCCTTCAGCCCCGTCGACCACGGGCCGACCGAAGATGGCCTCCAGCTCCTTGGCATCTGGCGGGGGGATGGGGTACCTCCCAATGGACAGCTCCACCAGCGACAAGCCCATGCTCCAGATGTCTGACTGCACCGAGTAGTGGGTACCTTGCAAGCGCTCCGGCTGTCGGGAGACACAGTGGTGCTGGGAGGGGGCTGGGACCTAGAGGCGCTCCTCCCCTGGCAGCCCCTCTGCCCTCTCCCACTCAGCCCCACGCGTGATGAGAACCTTGAGGCCACACCTCCCTTACTGCTGTGGGCAGGGACAAGTGGCCCAGACAGACTAGACCCTCCTTGGTCCCGACCTCTCGAGACAGACATCCTAGGATCTGTTTATAGGACCCAGGCATCCGGCTCCCGCCCATCCCCCACCCCCATAGAAAATCAGTTGCTGTGGGGTCAACCCAGACTCAGAGCAGAACTACCCCCGAGGGTTAACCACCCGCCGCCAACCAGCAGTTGGAGGAAAAACCTGTCCAGAGCGCGCCCACCCTCAGCAAGATGATAATGGGGTCAAAGGAAGAGGAGGGAGAAGCAGGAGGCCCATGGCTGCCTGGAGCCGGAGGGAGGGGGCAGGGGACGTACCGACATGTAGGAGCGCGTCCCCACAAAGGAGTTGGCCATGGAGTCAATGAGCTGCCCGCTCACCCCAAAGTCACATAACTTGATCTCCCCTCGGGAGTTGACCAGAATGTTGGAGGGCTTCACATCTGAGGAGAGAGTCGGAGCGCATGACCACAGCGGACCAGCCGCTGGGCCTCGTGGAGTATAAGTGGGCGGGCATCTTTGTATTTGTCTGGGAGTCGCTTACCTCGATGCATGATCTGGTGTTTTTCTCGGAGGTACGCCAAGCCCCGGAGGACCTGCATGGGAGCCGGGTCAGTGGGCGAATGAGCACTGTGGGGTTGGGGGGTGGGAACAGCAGGCAGAGCCTGTGCCACGCACGTGCTGTACACAGACGGTGGTCTTATTCTGTGTCTGTGAATTTGCAGACTTGTCCTGGACTGAATTCCGGAAGTCAATTGCCTGGCCTTTCTTCCTACTCTACCTTGGTCTGGAAACCTATTCTGCATCCTAGCAACACACAAGCCCTCGCTGACAGACACAGGTGTTGGAGAGCCCATGAGGTGCACTGACTAGGAAACGAACCAGGGTCTCCCGTGTGGACCGTGAAGACTCCAGCGTGGCCTCTGGCTGTATGTGTGTAATTCATGGATTCTCACGCAGTGTCCCCACCCCGACACAGGAAGCAGGTGTGTCACATCCCCATTTTAAAGGAGAGGGAGCTGAGCACTGAGTGGCACCAGATTGAAGGTCCTCAGTGGGATGAAAAGATAGTCCTAGTGACCCCATTGTTACATGTATGGTCAAGCCTATATGAGGCAGTCAGGGTTACCCCCACTTCACAGGCAAAGAAACAGAGGTTCTTCCAGCAGTCATAGGGCACAGACACCCTGGGAGGCACCTCTGGCTCTGCCCTGTCATCCCACCCCAGGTTTTCCCTCCAACCAGCTTCTCAAGCTCCTCTTCCCAACACCCTTCTGCTGGCACCCCATCGGCAGTGTCCAGGAAGTCTGCCCACCAGTGTGGGGAAGGGGCTGCCGCTCAGGGCTGAGGTCTGCCGGGACTGCTCTGCAGCTCCCACCAGGCCGAGGCCAGTTCTCAGGACAGATCTCCGGACCTAACGGCTTCACTCGGAACTCAGGACTCAAAATCCTGCTGCAGTGGGAGACGGGATAGCAGACTGTGTGGTGGGTAAGGCTGGACCACAGCACAGCCTCCGGATCACGCAGGGCCGTACTCACCGCAATGCTGACCTTCCCTAGGATCTCTTCCGGGATCCGCTTGGCTTCTTTTAACACCTGGTCCAGTGAGCCTCCGTCCTACGTGGCCCACAGAAAAGACACGGAAAAACATGTGAGTTACCAGTCTCCAGATGGGGACGGTGCTGCCCTTCCCTCTGGGGCCCAGGCAGTGGAGCCAGCATGGCAGGCCTTGTCCTACGTAAGGCGTGATGCCATCTTCTCCTCAGGCAGGCTGCTGCTGCTCCCAGTGCCACCATAAGCAAGAAGAGGGCCTCACATCAGGGCTGGCCCCAAGGGCGCCCTACGGGGGCCATGACTCAGCCACCTAACACTGTTCACTCTGGGCTACAGATCAGTCTGATTAAAAACACGCTGGACATGTGGACCCATGCGCAACCAGGCTACACACTGGGAGGGCGCCTGGAGGTGGCCTACTGACCAGAATCTACCGCCTCCTTGCCCACAACCAGGAACTGACTTCTCCGTCCCTGGCAGGGGTCTGGTACAAGTGGGCAGGAAGACGGGCATCTAGCACCTGAGGGGCCTGTGCGCTGGACAGACCCTTGGGGGGGTTATTAGTCTACCTGCTGTGGTGCAGGGGCACGCGGGAGGACCCCACAACACACGCCCTGAGTGGGGCACCAAACACATGAACCTTAAACAAACACAGAAACAGACTGCCATGGAGCTGAACCCCAAAATGCTGCCAGTGGTCGCCCAAGTCCTGGGGTCTCAGCAGAAACGACCTCCCAGTACAAGAGGGGCTCCAACCGTGCTGGACACCTGCTAACTGCACAGAGGAAACGGAGCCTCAGTGGGGGTCGGTGGGGAAGGCTGTGGCTGGGGGGGGGCTCTCTAGAACCTGCTCGGAAGGGGCAGGAGACCCTAAGTGTTTGCGCTGTCGGGACAGGCGGCTATGGCTGGGGAGGGACGCCCGGGAGGGACCCAGCGTATTCCTGCTCCAGCAAGCCCCCCGCTGGGAAGTCCCCGGGTCCCTTCTCATTTGTTTAGCCTTCAACATTCTAAGAAATAGGAAAAAGTGTTTCTGAACGGTGACCCGAGCCAGGCTTCTGCCCGCATGGGTGACACAGGGCTGGGTCTTTCCAGAGATGTGAGCTGCACCCCAGCCTTCACCACTCCCGCCTGTAGTACCTCTCTGGTCATGACACCCACAAATGTCCCCTGGGTTAGGGGACTCCGTGGGCTCCCACCAGACTCTGCGTCCCATCATCACCAGACCCTGAACTTCCAGGACGCTGCCCATTCTGAAGTCCACAGACTTAAACACTGTGCCACCAGGGGTCCTCCCAGAATGAACTAACGACTCCCCTCTGTCAACTAGTGAAGATGGAAATCCCTGATGCTGGGGGTGGGGATCCCCTGGCTGACACCATCTAACCTACGGGGAGTTTATCTGAGTGGACGGTGTGAGACAGGGGCCAAACTCCATTTTTCTTCTTCATATCAAAAACCTCTCTTCTGCTTCGGCACTGGACACCCATGGCCCACTGTTCCTTTAGAGGGGCCATCTGGGGCACCATCGAGTGTTGAACAGCATCCTGACCTCCAGCCTTCATGGAAGCAGCACGTTTCCCGTCATAATGAACACAAAGGTGCCCAGACATCACCCAGCATCCCCTGGGAGAGGCCCCTTTCCCTGATCTAAGCACCGTGCCTACGTCCCCACAGGATGTGGTACTGGAGATGCCGCGCACCGGCCTTGTGAACCCCAAAAGCACCTCAGTCAACACCACACGATGCTGCTTCTGTTTTTTTAATGCTCTTTACATTTTTTTGTTTTTTGAAGCAAGACACACAAGTACATGTGTTTCATACAGAATTCAAGCAAATAACTCCTCTATCTCCACCACCTCAACAGCAACACCACCTTCCCTACCTCAACTGCACTGAAGTCAGCTCATATTCTTCCAGAGACTTCCATGTGCCTTTACAGACACATCTATGTACAGAGAGGCACAATCGGCTCAGACACTGGGTACTTTCTGCAACTTGCTTTTGTCCCCCCACTTGATAATATCTCTCGATCTCTTCACATTGAGCACGTGCTTCCCTTTCCATTACATGTGTACAGGGAGCTGGGCTCCTTCAGGAACCCGCTTACTGACGGGCCAGTCTGCTCTGGCCTTATTGTAGAACACACTTCAACAGATCCGACTCAACGAGCCCACGTTTTCCACGTGCCCACTGTCTGGGAATACGGGGATGGCAGGACAAGTACACCAACTGCTCCGTGGGGAAAAAGATGATACTTTCTGGTCCCGCAAAGATTTACAGCCTCGGACACCTTACACAGGGTCCCCATGAGTCAGGACCAACTTGGTGGACTTAACAAGCCCTGAATTTTTCCAGTAACACGTTCAGGGACAGGTTTACATGTCCCTAAACCCTAACTGCCAGTCTGTGCTAGCCAGCCCCACAGTGTTACTTCCTGTGCTGAAGCTGTCTGGCTCATCATTAAATTAGGGGTCTTCCATGGGGGTGCACACTGAACATGCTTGGTTTCTGACTTCAAGGTTAGAGCCATCCCGAGGTGCCTCACAAGGAAAGCCTGGCATCTGCTTCCGACCCATCAGCCGCTGAAACCCCCGGAACACAGCGGCACTGTCACATGTGTGGCTTGATTTCTTGGTGCCTCGAGCACACCAGGATTATGAGCCACCTTCTGTGGGTGTGTGCTGGCCCTGCCGGGCTGCACAGCTGTGCCACAAAGCATAGCTTTAAATTCACCAAGCACAAAGGTGGAGCAAGGGACCAGGTGGGCTTGCTCCTGTCTGTCTGCTCAGGGAAGAGGAGTGCACTCGTGGGCTGTTAAAGGGATGAGTCGCTGTATGGGGGCGCGGGCGGAGCTGGGAGGGGGCACCGTCGGGGGCGGCAGACCACAAAGCACTTCCCTGTCCTTCCTTCTCCCTTTGATTTCTGTCTGCAGGGTCACCTGGAGAGGAAGGAGGCAGACAGGATTCCCCCCAGGTGACAAGGGAGGCGCCGGCAAAGGCAGTGCCTGATTTGGGATCACCTTGGGGGGCACCATGCCCAACTCACACCCACACTGGGGCCTCTCCCAGTGCTCACGGGGTGTTCCTCAGAGCTGCTTGCTCAAATTCATTTCCTGCCTCCCTTACAAAATCAGCCACGGTGACTGTGCATTTTCCAGGCATAACCAACGTGTCAAAAGCCGCACCACCTCCTGGTGTCGAAAGGGCACCGGCAGGCCTAGGACCCTCGAAGAGTTCGGTTCCACACGGGGTGGGCGGCACTTGCGCTCGGGGCCTGCACCTCTGACCACTTCTGCTTTCAGGAGGCCCCACCCAATTTGCCTGCTTTTCAAAACCAGTTTCTTAACGACGGGGCACGTCGGAATCAACCAGGATGCTTTATAAATTGACAGTACCTACACCCAACCTGGAGATGCTAATCCCAGCGGTCTGAGCCAGGATGTGGCTGCAGGTCCCTTCCAGAACGTTCCTTAGCTGGCAAGTCTCCTTGTGGTTGCTATTGCTGGCTATTGCCAGCTCACAGCCACCCCAGGGAACAAGATTTGCGTGTTCTGTGCTAGCCCCTGGGTGCTGTGGCCTGGCCCACTTAGAGTCAGTTACCAGGCCTTTCTATCTAGTTGATTCACCTACAAGCTCAGCATGCTGGCAACATGCCAAGTCCACTGACTGGGAGCTATACCCAGGTCTCCTACTAGGAAGCCATCATCTTGGCCTGGTCCCTGGGGCCTGGCCTTTCCACTCTCTGCACGGCGGATGAGAAGATGGGCCAGATTACTAAGGAGCCCCGGTGACACGGTGGGAAAATGCGTGTCTGCAAACCAATGGGTTGGCAGTTCCAACCCAGCCAGGAGCGCTGTCGGTGGGAGAAAAGGCCTGGCGATGTGTTCCCAAGAGACGACAACCTCGGAAGCCCACGGAGGCAGGTCCTTCTCCTACGTCACACGGGATCGCCGTGAGCTGGACTCCACTTACAACATATGAACCAAGCTCTTTATAAGCTGACAGAATGTTTCCTGTGATTTATCAAGTGAAGCAGCATAGGACTAAGGTTGAAACCAGGGCTTCAAAGCAGCTCAGTCATGGACAAGGGAAACAAGGGTTGCCTACACAGTACACACAGTAATCAAACCTCTGTGTTGGATTTTGACCAGAGTCACGATGGTGGCCAACTGCGTCATTTTAAATATGTGTCACCGGCCATCTCTGAGCAGCTTATTTCTGACTTGGGTCAAAATTGGCTGCACAGGAGATCTGGCTGCTATACAACATGTATACACTGCCCTGGTTTCGGTTGGCCATGACTCAATTATCTTGAGCCAGTTCAGAACCCTGGTTTAAAACTAACGGAATCTCTCTGTTCTTAAGCTTTGCTTGGCATCACCAGTTTCCAGAAAGATCCTCTTTGAAACGAGCCAGAGTGGATTCCTCTGAAGACAGAGATGTTGGGTCACAGACATGCCCTTCTGGACGATGTGAATTTTATGTTCTGTGAGTCCTGAGTAGTAGAGCTGCCCCAGAACTTCAAGTTCTTTCTGGAAATCAGACTAACTGGGCACCCCGAGACTGTAACAACCCCCCAAATCTATGGCCTGGAAGCAACTTTTAAAGCCCTAACCATGTCTCTCCCACACGTCACCTTTACACTCACCACTTTCTAAAGGCTGTTCACCTTGAGCAGCGCGCTCTTCTAAAGCATGAGGCCAGAGAGAGCCCACAGCAGGTACCCTCCCAGCGCAGAGGGGACTGGTCAGGGGCCGAGAGTCTGAGGTGACCGTCACAGGGAAGCAACATGGAGAGACACTGGGAAGAGTGACATGGCACCGGGAATTGTACAATTGTACGTGGAGAGACTGCTGAACGGGGTATGCTTTGTTGTGTGTGTTTTCATAAAAAATTTGAGAAGAACACGAGCTGCCGCCCATACTCACCATGTGCTCCATACAGATGCTGATCTCCCCGTCACTGTAGAAGGCCCCGTAGAAGCCCACGATGTACGGGGAGTTGCACCCGTGTAGGACCTGCAGCTCCCGGATGATCTGGTTCCGGATGGCCGGCTTGATCTCCAAGTGAATCAGCTGTTAGGGAACAAGGGTGGAACAGTGAGGTGAGGGACCACAGGGGAGGGGGAGCTGGTCCTTGCCCTTGAGGGGCTCAGGACAGCGGTCCACATCCAGATCTCTGCCCCCAAGATCTGGAAGCAGGGAGTCACACAGATAAGTGTACACCAACGGCTACTGCAGCATTGTTCACAGGAGCCGAGGGGTGGAGACTACCCACATGTCTGCCTGTCCATCCAGACGAGGGGCTACAACTCAGCCATAAAGCGGAATGAGGCCCTGATATACACTATCACATGGATGAACCTTGAAAACTGGAAGCAGAAGAAAAGCTAGACACCAAAGGCCATGGTTCGCTTCCATGGTGATGAAATGCTCAGAGACAAAAAGTAGACTGGAGTTTGTCAGGGGCTTTGGGAAGGGAAGGGGGGGAGGGGGTGGTAGGGAGTCACTACTCAGAGGGAAATGTTCCAAAATCAACTGTGGTCATGGTTGTGAGACTCTAGAAACACACTAAAAACTACTGAATTGGACACTTAAGAGAGTGAATTGTATGTTATAGAAATTACATCTCAAAGGCTTTGTGGGGTCGTGCACTGGACTACATGGTCAGTTTGAACTACAAAGTTGGTGTTCACATTCCCCAGCCCCTCCTTGGGAACCCTATACAACTATGAGTTGCGACCAACTCGAAGGCAGTTAACAAGCAAGTTGCTAAAAAAATTAAAGTGAGTCAACCTCTTCATTTCATCACAACAGGTGTTGTGAACAGGATGGTTTAGCCACTAACTATGCTACAGGTGACGACACACTTGTATCCAGCCCCCATCTGCCTGCAGTGTGTGGCACTAGGCTGGCATGTGTGCTGTTGTTGAGATGCTAGAAGTTTAGTTTACTGCGATTTCAACTCCCTGCAGGGTCACCCATGGTGGAGAGGTTTCCGGGCAGCTTCCAGACTAAGATGGAACTACTTCTGAACATCAACCAATGAAAACCTTCTCAATCACAACAGGCTTTACTGGGCACATGGTGGGAAAATGTGCCCCAGGGACTGGAAGGCACTTGAAAGACACAGTGACCACAAACTGAGGACCTGAGCAGACCAGCAATGGTGACAGTGGTATAGGACGTTCTGCTGCGCTGGGGGGCTGCTGTGAGTGGGGCTAGCTCAGCAGCAGTTAACCACAACACTGGACCAAGAGCCGCAGCTTTCTCCCTGGGCCCAGGCCAGACATGTCAGAATTCCAGTCCTCCTTCCACTTGAGTTGAATTTTCATTGACTCCTCCACCACTTAAAGGTAAGAAACCAGACAAACATGGGAGACATGCAGAAAAGGTATCTGGTATAACATCACAGGCAGTCTGCAACCTCAAGACCAGGTAAACCAAGAACCTGCAGCATGCTGGCAAAGGCCCCGCCCGCGGCCCTGGAGTCCCACTTCCTGGCGGCTATAAGTGTCTCAGTTGCTGTCAGCTGCTGCCCTGCGTCCTCGTCCTGATCTTTGTTGGTCTGCTTGCTGAGTCCATGGGTACAGCCAGTGTCTAGCCCAGGGAGCTCAGCTTCCAGAAGGTTCTCAGTGTTTTCTTGTCATCTTGAGATTTCCCCTGGTTGATGCTCCTAAGCAGCAGGCCAGACCCTTCTTTCTAGTCTGGGAGCTCTGCTGAAACCTGCCCACCTCGGGTGACCCTGCAGGTATGTGGAATCCCAGTGGTCTCACTTCTAACAACACAGCAGCAACATGCCAGGTGCCACAGGGTGACACGCTGACAGAAGGAGGGTGGAGTCACTTCAGAAAAAGAGCTGTGACAGCTGTCTGAGAGGAGGAGCCAGGTCCCGGGACACTGAGTGTGGATGACAGACACTAGGCTGATGAGGAGGGGACCAGGTGACTAAGGTGGTCCCACCATCAGGGGGAAGACAAAGCAAAGAAGTGCCACCAACAAGCACATTACAGGAGGCCAGGGAGAGCCAGCGGGAAGGTGACATTGGGGCTCGCTCCCCGAGGAAGGGTAGGCGCCAGCCAAATGGACCAGGTGGGAGGAAGGCTGTTCCAGGCGTGGGGGACAAAGACCTGCCTGTTCAAGGGCATGTGGCGTGGAGAAGCATGTGCAGTCCCCGCACTGGGGTGGAAGCCACTAGCTGAGCAGGCTGGTGCCACCACCTCAGGTGACCTTGAGGGCCTTGGCTGGGGCCAGTCAGCCATAAGCACAGCACCCAGACCTGGCCTTGCCCCAGGAGAGCTTTGTGCCAGCTCTGACCCCTGGCAGGATGGAACCCCACTAGACACAGGTCTGCAAGGTGATGGAAAAGGCACACCCTCCTGAGTTGAAAGGGCGAGATGTGGGGGCTGGGGTTGCATCTCATGACCAGGCCTTGAAGTTGTGTGGGGGGTTTGCTTTGACAGGTAAGAAAGGTGAAGAGGGGTGAGGGGATGAGACTGAGACCAGTGAGGTCTAAGACGAGCCACAGGGGTGATCTGAAACCTTCCAGTCGCCTCAGTGAAGACAGGTGAGGCAGGTGAATGTCTGCACTCTTCATACTTAAAGTTAACTCAGTATACCAGAAAGTGATCAACAAGTCCACGATGGCAGAGATTTTCATACCAAGCCTTCAGAAGCAGGTGCGTGTTTGACATACACTGCTTGTTGCTGTGAATCAGCTCTGACTCACGGTGACTGCGTGTCCCCCTGTACTAATCCCTGCCCGGTCTGCACCATCTTCACGCTCAGTCGGCCGGAGACCACGCTTGTGACCGCTGGCTATTTGAGAGCCTTCTAGCCCAGGACACATTGTTCATGATACTGAGCAGGTTCTGCCCTGATTCCCAGAACTCTAATGGTCTTTCTTCCAGACAGTCTCAGTCTGGAAGTGGAGATCACGGGTGGCCCTCCTGGTCTCTGAAATCCCAGTGGCCTAGCTCCCTGCACCACAGCAACATGCCACAGGGCGACAGGTGGGGGTGAGTATGACTTGTGCACACACATCCCGCTCACATCTCAGACACTCAGGAGCCACATGGGACGTGGCGGCTCTATATCCGGAACACTGAAGGGGCCACACTTCAATGTTGGTCCTATCTGGGGAGGCCCTGGGTAATGCAAACAGTGAACCTACTTGGTTGGCTATTGACCAAGAGGTTGGAGGTTCAAATCTACCAAGAAGTGCTTAGAAGAAAGACCTGGCCATCTCTTTGTACCAACCACTCCCACACTGAGAACCTTATGAAACCCATTTCTATTGACATACATGAAGTTGCCATGAGCCGGGGTTCAACTCGCCGTGGTTGGTAAACTAAACCAACCTTTCCAGACTGGCGGGAAGCCACACACAGGGCATGTGGAGGAACAGGAACGAGGAGCTGACGAGCCTGGGCGGGGAGGGACATTCTTGAGCACCTGGGTGACTGACAACAGCTTGCAGGACAGGTGTAACTGGCCCGTCTCACTGATGAGCAAGCTCACCTTTGGGAAAGTTAAGGTACTGCTGGCTGGTGAGGAGGAGAATCAGGATGGAAGCAGGGCTCCTGGAACACCCCCACCCCCACCCCACCCCCACCCCCGGCTGTGAGTTCTGATGGAAGGAGCCCAGAAGAGTTCAAGCCTATGAGGAGCTGACGGTGGTGTCTACGGAAGAAGGGGCCCTGAGTGGGATGGAGAGAGAGAGACAGAGAGAGAGAGAGAGACAGAGACAGACAGACAGACAGAGAGAGAGAGAGAGAGAGAGAGAGAGAGAGAGAGAGAGAGAGAGAACTGGGTCTACAATGATTGAGGCAAGAGCATAGGTCCAAACTGGTGGTCCCTGAGCTGGACATGGCCAGGAGCAGTGACCGTGTGGCTCCTACAGTCGGCAATGCTCAGACTGGACCCACGGCACCAGAAAGCAGTGAGCAGAGAGCCAGCCCGGCCTGCAGTGCTCTGGGGGCATCTGGGAGTAGCCTCGTGAAGACAGCCCAGCCTCCAGTTTTACCAGTCGCTGTCATCGACCCAGAATCATGGTGACCCCATGTGTGTCACACACAGAGCTCTGTGCCACCAGGCTTACAGCAGCTGATAATACGGGAATAGACTGCTACGGACTGCTACGACTTTCTTCCAAGATGCCTCTGGGTGGACTTGAACTGCTGAAGTTTTGGTCAGCAGATGTTATGGATTGAACTGTGGCTCCTAAAAATAAGTGCTACCTTAGCTGGGCCGTGGTTCCCAGTGTGAGGTAGCTATCCTCTATTTTGGGACCTGAGGTGACGATCCTCTTTGGAGCCTTGCCAGGTTAGACAGTTGTGCTAAGGAGCCAGGAAACCATCTACAGGATTGGACTGGAGCTGAAGCATCTCTTATGAGATGCGAGCAGAGACAGGGGGACCACCTACCACCAAGAAAGAAGCCAGGAGTGGAGCGTGTCCTTTGGACTCAGGGTCCCTGCCCCAGAAAGCTCCTGGGCCCAGAGGAAGACTGATGCTAAGACATGAGATCTCAAGGAATGCTGGGCCTGCAGATGCTGAGAGGAGACAAGGACCTTCCCTCCCCAGAGCTGAGAGACACAAAGCCTTCCCCTGGAGCCTGCACCCTGAACTTGGACTTTAGGCTTTGGGACTATGAGAGAGTAGACGTCGACTGAAGCGCTCCCAACCTTGTGGGGTCTCTGTTACTGCAGCATAAGAAAACCAAGACAGCAGCCAAGCGTATCCACAGTCTGCACCAGCCAGGGACTCGGGAGAAGGATCCTGTTGCAAATCAGTTGGTTACGAGGTGGAAAGGGGCCTGCCACATCAGGTACTGAAGGCTTGCAGAGAAAGGCAGAGAATTCCGATTCGATTCAGGCAGATGTGGCTAAGCCTCGGATTCCTCATCTGCAAGTGAGAGCTGCGGTTCGATTTAAAGAATACAGGCTCCGTGTTAGCAGCACCTTGGACCCAGGGCAATGATTGGATCAGGAGCCCTGGTGGCAGCATGGTTCTGCTAACTGAAATGCTGGTGGTTCAAACCACCCAGAGGCTCTGCAAGAGCAAGACCTGGAGATCTGCTCCCATAAAGACGACAGCCTGGAATCCTTGGGGGCGGTTTTCCTGTGTTACATGGGGTGGGGAGGAGCTGATATCAACTCGAGGTCACCCAATACCAATAGTCCTGTGGCTTCTCCACCTCACATCATCCCAGTCAGAACACCGGGAGCAGACATTGCTACTGGCCCACAGAGCAGTATCCGCCTGCTCTTCCAGACCCTTGCCCAATTCCCTATGCACACACCTCTGGACAGCTGGTTTGAGATTCAGTAAGTGAGTCTGCCCGCCGAAAGTCCTCACCCCACACAGGGAACGCCTGCACCTCATCTGTCTTCCTGGAGAAGGGGAGGACCCAAGGCACGGTTCAGGAAAGCCTTGTTTGCTGTGTTACTTCTAATCTTCCATCTGGGCAAACAGCCTTCAGCTCCATCAAGGGAAACTGGTCTCATGGGGAGCCTGCATGCCACAAGGACCCCACAGCCTGGTGGTGGGCTCCAGCCCCTCAGGTGCTATGGCCCCAAAGTGCAGACACACGCTCGGGAAGGTCCCCTTCCTAGTCAACGTACTTCCCAAATGCTGTTAAGCATCTGTTCTGACACGTTGTCCTGCATGTCAGCAAGGCTGCAGGGTAATGGGTTTCCTACATCTGAAAGGACATATCGCGCGGGCTCCTGGGAATGTGCTTAGGAGCTGCACATCCTAATTTGGTGGTAGAATTTTTGCCTTCCATGTGGGAGACCCCGGTTCAATTCTGGGCCAAGGCTCTTAATGGTCCATGGGGAATAACATGAAATTCCCCATAACCAAAAAATAGAAAAACCGGCTGCAGAAGCGTCAATTCTGACTCATAGCAACCTTGTGCGTTAGAGGAGAACTGGCCTTCATGCGGTTTTCCTGACTGTCATTTTTAAGAAAGCAGGTCACCAGGACTTTCATCGGCAGCACCAAAGGAAGGGTTGGAGCCACCAACCTCTCGATTAATAGCTGAGGATTAAGAACAAACCATCTGTACCACACAGGGGATACCAGATGCCTATGGTTTGGGCGTGTCTTTTTTTTCTTTCAAACTTTTAATCTTGAAATAACGGTAGCATCACAGACAGTCACAAACCTCACATGTGGAATTCCCCTCACCCAAGCTTCCACCAGGGGTTGAGGCCCCGTGTTACCATCACACCCAGGAATCCGATACTGGGATAATTCCACTAACCAAGCGACACAACTTAGCCATCCACGTAGTTTTTGAGAGACACTGAGTAGACCTGTGTGTGGTTTTCAAGGGCTGAGAGCTTGGAAGGGGTCACCAGGCCTTTCGTCCACAGCATCTCTGGATGGACATAAACTTCCAACCTTCTAATACCAGCTGAGCGCATTGTTTGTGCCCCTCAAAGAGCCCCACCTGCACAGATTGAAATATCCGCCCCTTACTTTCCAGCTGTACATAATAAAGCTTCCGGAGACCTCCTCCCCCTAGAAACCAGGACTCCCCAGGTTCTTTGCCTTTCTGTGAGAGTTCCAAGTTGGGCTGAGCTGACTCTATAGCATGCCCGTGACCTGGGGCTGGTCAGAGAGCTCCCCTTGACCTGCCACTGAGCAGCACCCTCACTCTCAAGTTCCCTTGTCACCATCAGAATCACTTTGCCTCTGTGTGTCCCCAGGCTCTGGCCAGCGCTGCTCTGCTTTAAGGGAGCCTGCAGCGTGGGGACACAAATAGAAAGCGCGCGGCTGCAGATGTCTTGGGGGAGGGGAACGGTGCTCGCAGAACCATCTGCAGAACCAAATTTTACCTGAAACTGAGCGTGTCCTTTTTAGCGAGGACCCTGCAGGTGCTGCTGGACCCCTACAGACCCGCTTGGGTCAGGAGCAGCTGGTTTTCTAAGAAAACAATTTGGGGGAATATAGGATGGTGGGCTTCCAGGAAGAGGTGGCTTGTACGAACTGACCCACTGATAACTAGTAAGTGCTCCTGGGGATATGTCTAGGAGCTACTCACCATAAAATGGGTGCTCACTGGTAGAAACCACCCCCACCTCGTGCAGAAGACCTGGTTCCATTCCCAACCAATGCATCCCACGCACAGCCACGGCCCGTCTGTCCGTGAAGGCTGACATGCTGCTGGGATGCTGAACAGCTTTCAGCTCAGCCTCCAGACTAAGACAATTAGGAAGAAAGGTCTGATCACTGACTTCTGAAAACCAACCCATGAAAACCCTGTGGGTCATAGCGGCCTGGAACATGTGGGCTTGCCAAGAGTGGGCGCCGACTGGACAGCTGCCAATAGCAGTGAGAAATCCCAAAATGGTCATACACTCCCTACATCTCCTGGGAACAGGCTCTCTCAGAGGGAGACTGACTTGCAGCCTAGGAAGCCAGACCACGATGACAAGAGAGGCACAGAACTTTCCAACTCCAGTGTGTGCGCGCTTCTGCAGTGTGTGTGTGTGTGTGTGGGGGGGGCCTCCAAGCTCACCCCAGGCAGCAGCAGAACGTGCTCTTGGGCTGTGAAGCACTATGATGCTAGCTTTACAGAGACTCATGTCTCCACCCTTCTTTCCAAAAACATCCCCCATGAACAGTCTGCAAAGTTTCTTGCTGTGAAGTGCCATCGAGTCGATTCCAACCCCTAGCGACCCTGTATAGGGTTTCTGAGGAGTAGCTGGTGAGCTTGAACCGCCAACTTTGCAGTTCAAACTGGCTTTGCAGTCTAGTGCATTAACCCACAGCACCGTGACACCAGGACTAGGGACCCGAATTTCAAAGGATCTCAAAGGCGGAAGTCAACAACCAAAGGGGAGGGTTGTGTGAGGCAGTTCAGGGTTGCTACGAAGTCTCGAGAGCCTCAGGCACTGAGGACCGACGGCTGGGGAGAAAGGCCCCCAATCACAGAGCCAAAGCTGACACCTGCAACTACTCACATTGCCAGGGACCCGCCCTGCGCGCCCCCACTCACCTTCCTGGCCATGATGAGGCCCGAGGGCCTGTGCTGCACCTTGGTGACCACCCCACCATTCCCGGCCCCCAGCTCCGAGATCCTTTCAAAGTCATCGTCCTTGAGTTCGCCGACCTTGGCCTTCTGGGTGAGGAAGGCTTCCAGACGTTTCTTCTGTTGCTCATCAAGTTCCAGCTCCTCCAGTTTCTTCTGGAGGTCCGCCCAGTTTGCTCTGTGGGGACCCCAAGAGCCAGGGTTAGTGTGGGGGGGCAGGGCGGACGTGTTCCTTGCATGTCAGGGGTTCATGAGTTGGCAGATGCAGGAGCAGGGGGCCCCCGGACCCCAAGTCCACACCGTGGCACCCTGGCCCTGGGTTGGTGTTGGGCCTGATGGCAGGTACTGCTGCGTAGACCCACGAGTCCACTTCCCTGAAGCTAGCATTCCCAATCAAACCCAGAAGGGGAGACAAGATGGGGAGGGGTGAGTGAAGGCCACCAGTCTCTCATGAGGACAGAGGTGTTAACTTGTTTCCAGTGGCCTCAAAATCAAGGACTAGAGTCAGAGGGTCAAGGGTCAAGAAGAACACGTGCCCCCTACCTGCACCCAATTTATGTGAATCAAACCCAGGCATTGAGGAGGGGAAAGGGAGAGGTGTATTCTAAGTCATGTGGGCCATTCTGGAACCTTCTGCTCACTCTTAACTAGATCCCATATAGGACCGTAACAGTTAGGGGACACTTTTGGCACACACACTCATTCCCAAACTGTCAAAACCATTTACACTACACTTTCTCGAGTGATTTCAGGGATCAAAACGAAACAAAAACCAAACCCACCCTAGCTGCTCTGGGTAGGGACTCTATGGGACTAGGAAGAATTGCTCCCATACAGCCTCCTCTTGGTGGGTTTGAATGGCTGACCTTGGGGTTAGCAGCCCAATGCCTAACCCACTGAGACACCAGGGCTCCATTCGCGCAGAGTCTCTGGGTGGTACAAATGGCGAGCAAGTCTGGCCTGCTGAAACACTGTGGAGATATGAGTGCACTTTTTAAAAATGTGGGTACTAGAGAATGTCAAATTACATACAGGGCTCAGGTGATACTTATTTTAGGAGTCCTTGGTTAGTTCATCCATGTGTTAAGCTAAAAATCTGTCTGCCTTTGACAACCAACCAGTTGCTGGAGGAAGTGGCCTCCAACTCCTGCCAACCGCATGTATCAGAGTAGAGCTGTGCTCCATGGGCTTTTCTTGAGCTGGTTTTTCAAAGTACATTTCCAGGCCTTTCTTCTGAGGTACACAGACCCAAAAGCAGTTTATGGAACAGAATGAGGGGATACTGAATATTTTAAAAGTAGGGATGTAGCGTAGCGGTTACGAATCGGGCTGCTAATATCAGACAGCAGTTCGAAACTACCAGCTGTTCCGTGGGAGAAAGATGAGGTGTTCTGCTCCCGTAAAGATTTTCAGCCTCGGAAACCCTGTACAGGGTAGCTATGAGTTGGAACTGACTCCACTGCACATAACAACAACAACAACCCTTTCACCATATTTTTTTAAATTGAATCTGTAGAGTCCTGGTGTGGTGCTGTGAATTAATGCACTGGCCTGCAAGGTTGGTTTGAAATGCAAGGTCAGGGTTCAAGCTCACCAGCAGCTCCTCAGAAACTCTATACAGGGTCGCTATGAGTCCGAATTGACTTGACCGCACTTAACAACGACATCGAATCTGTTTGCTGGGCAAATAATCCAAGAAGCTAGATTATATGAAGAACAACTTGGTATCAGCATTGGAAGACTAACTAAAAATCGTAAGTATTTTCGTTGACACAAAATACTTAAAGGACATAAAATACTTACTGAAGATCAAAGACTACAGTCTTCGGTATGGATTGCACCCAAATGTAAAGACAGTGAAAATCTTCACTACTGAACCGATCGATACATGACATCATGATAAGAAAAAAACTCCCAAAGACTTCAGTTTGCCTGGATCCACAATTAACATTCAAAAGCCAGCTGTCAGGAAATCAAACTGTGTTAGGCAAACCTGCTGCCCAAGCCCTTTCTACAAACCCAAGCCATGTATACACCTTCCATCGCCTCTTATACAGTCAGATGCTGGACAACAAATAGGAAAGACCATAGAAAATAGATGCATTTGAACTATGGTGTTGAATGATACTGAAAATATCACGGACTGCCAGAAGAACAAACAAATCTGTCTTGGAAAAAGTACAGCCAGAGTGCTCCTTAGAAGTCACGATGGGGAAACCTTGTCTCTCGTTCTTTGGACATGTTATCAGGAGGGACCAGTCCCTGAAGAAGGACATCATGCTTGCTAGAGTTGTTGTTGTTGTTATGTGCTGTGGAACAGTGACCCTGTAACAGGGTTTCCGAGGGTGTAAATCTTTACGGGAGCAGAAAGCCTCATCTTTCTCCTGCAGAACAGCTGGTAGTTTCGAACTGCTGACCCTGAGGTTTGCAGCCCGATTCGTAACTACTATGCTACCAGAGCTCCTTGCTTGGTAGAGTGGAGGGTCAAAAAAAAGAAGATCCCCAACTGGAAGGACTGACACAGTGGCACCAACAATATGCTCAAACATGACAACAGTTGTGAGGAAGACACAAGACGGGGCAGGGCTTCGTTTTGTTGTGTGCAGAGTTGCTATGAGTGGGACCCAACTCTTCAGGACCTGACAACTTGACAGGAGCAGCTCGCCACGTCTTTTTCCCCAGAGCTGTTGAAAAGTTGATTCGAACCACCAGCCTTTCTGTCAGTAGACAAGCACCTAAGCGCTGAGCCACCAGTACTCCTTTTCAACACACAGGCGACATACAAAAAATGAGTACAGATGTACTATACACAGTTTGGTCTTTGTGCTAGGTCTTTATCATCTGGACTATAGCTTATAACCACAGCTCGCCTTGATACGAACAGACTACAATTCTCTACAGAATGGGTTGCCTCCAGGGGACTTGGCCCACCTGGGGGGGCACAGCACAGAGGGGATTCCAGTAGGGAGGGGTGAAGGGTGAATTGGACAGTCCTCACGCAACTTTCCCATTCTAAAATTTTGTCATCATTCCCCACCAGCTTGGGACCAGGCAAGCTGGGATCCGATGGCGCTGTCACCTGAGCTGGTGCTGAAAGAACTGGCCAGACGGGATGGGGCTCAGTCCCAGTTCTTGTATTGCGTGCATTACAAACACCATCATATGAAATCCTCCCGACCACCCAGGGAGACAGCTGTCTGCTGGTTCCAGCCCAGGCAGACAGGCTCCTGGAGGTGAGAGAACTTGCTCCAGGTCACAGCACAAGGAAGTGCCCGAAATCAAGCCTGTGTTCACCTAACAGTCAAGCTCATGACATGACGCTGTTTGTCTTGGTGTCTCTGAACCAGGACCAGAGACATGCCTACTGAATGAAGACAGGGCTAAAGATGCAATGAAGGGACTCTGAAGAAAGGAAGATGGAAGACCACGGAGTGAGTCCCTTTGGCTCTGTTCTTTCAGGAACTACGCTACACCATAGTGTTGAGGAGGCACCTGAGGCCAGAACTTTCAAGGTCTTGGGACTGCACTATGATCAAAAAATGCATCTTGGAGTCAGCTGATTAATCCAGTTCCAATGCAATGGCTACAGCAACTGCGGTTATATAGAACAAAACCTGGAGTTCTTCCTATTGGAATCCAGACTCACAGGACAGGTGGAGTCTGGAGAGACCCTGAGTCTACTGCCTGGAAATGCTTAACTGTGAGCTGAAACCCTCCCACTGTCATCTTTCAATGAAGCGACAATTTAACTCAGCCCTGCACCGTAATGAAGATGGCCAAAAGCTCCGTGAGCGCACAGACGAGAGCTGTAAGGGGCAGAGAGCTGCCGGAGGTGAGGCAATAAGAGACTGCAAGCGGATAAACAGTTGAACAGGTGCATGCTTTCTTGTGTATACCACCACTCTACAGTTCCAATGGGGGGGGGCATCCTCTACTGGGGGAATTTTCCAAGTGATGGAAATCGGAGACTACAGACAAGAAGATGAAGGTGAGGGCACTTGCTTGTAAGAAGGTGGTGGTTTTAAAATAAGGAATAGATCCCCATTGACGACTCTATATTCTCCGTGGTGGTGGCGGCAGCGGATACCTAAGCACGCAATACGTGCAAGCGCACGTGCACGCAAACGTGCAAGCACGTAAGCAACACGCAAGCACGCATTCACGCACACACGTAACACGCAAGCACACGTGCACGCCAAGACGCACGCATGACGCAAAGCAAGCACGCACACAAGCATACGTGCACACACGCACGCATGCACATGCGCGCGCACACAGTAAAACACGTCAGCATTATAATAGGTGAGGTTCCCCCCGACCCAAGAGGCAATAAGCCCACTACCTTCCTCTCATACCTTGTTCTCACCTCCAGGCTGGTCCTGTGCAGGTGGGAGGCAGGAATGGGACAACCTCAACCCTTAAAGTCAATGCCCTCAAGTTCCTTGCACCCCTGGACGCTCCATGCTCAGTACCCTGCCCCTACCCCACCTTTGGAATCCCCCACCCCCAGTCCCGTAAGTCTGCTCATCCTTGGTCCCTCCAGGCCTTTCTAGGCCCCACACTTTAGAATCTCTGCTCACCAGCTTCCAGGGTTCCCAAAGGCACCCCCCTCCCCCCAGCCAGGGAGGGTCTGCTTCCTGGTGCGGCCTCTTAGGACCCCCAAGGACCCACCTCAATCCTGACCCCTCTGGGATCCCTTCACCCACGACCCTCTTCACTCTGACTTCACTAGTCAAGGACCCCCACCTTTTCATCTGTCCTGGTACCTAAGGAACCCCCAAATCTCATTCTTGCCCTCAAGACCCTTCACCTCACACCACCCCATTATTCAGGGCCCCCCTGCTCCCCATCCCTTCCCCACCACTCAGAGACCCCAGCCTCCTTCTCACCTCAGCAGTCAGGACCCCCCCCACCTACATTCTGCAAGGACCCGGATCCTGATCTCACTATTCAGGGCTCCCTCCCCGTGTCTTCTCCCACAAGGGGACCCCTGATGCCAATCTAACTACTCGGAAACCTTTCATCCCGCCTCCTTCCCGCAGGGACACCCCTCACCCCGCTTCTCAAGAGCTTGGGGGCATCCACCCCTACCCCGCCGACCCCGGTGCACTCACTCGGAGGCGCCCTCGCTGGTGGGAGACGGGCCTTCGGTGATGCCGGGGTTGATGGTAAGCGCCGGCAGCACCGGCTTCCTCCGGGCCAGCATCGGGGCTCCGCGGGCCGGCTGCGGGGCGCCTCTAGCCGGGGCCCATAGGGGGCGGGCCGAGAGCAGGTGATGCCGACACGAGCCTGGCGCTGTGGCCTAGGCCGATGCCGGGACGGGCCGGGGATAAGGGTACCAGGTATGAGAAGAAGGAGTTGTTGCAGCCGAGGCCCGAGTGAGGCTGACGCTGCAGCGGGAGCCCGGGAGGCCGAGCAAGGGGAGGGGCCCGGCGGAATCTCGTGCGGCCTCTCGCGAGAGCGAACCACACCGAACTCCGCCCCCGGAAGTAGCGCGTGCGTTCCAGCTACCCGCTGCCTCCTAGAAGGAAGAGGCAGAGACTAAGAGAACCTGCGTATTCTCTCGCCTCCCGCCGTGCGAGTGCGCTTGCGTCGGGGACGCCGGGAGGGGGCCCAGAGAGGTCGAGGGGGCGGTAGCGATGGAGGAGTGGTGGTGGAAGGGAATGTGCGAGGAACTAGGTGGGCAGGGGAGAGGGCGGACCATTTAGAGCCTGTAGGTTAGTGCACTGGACCACAAGGTCTGTTTGAACAAGGTTGGTGGTTCAAACTCACCAGCCGCAACTCGGAAATCGTATACAGACTCGCTATGATACACACACACACACTTTTGTCAATTCTTTGGTGAGTCAAAGGTCTTAACACCAAAGAAGGAGGGAGCATATGACACAGAATACATGTGCACGGAGGGAGCAGGTGGGGACAGTCATTTAAATGGGAAAAAGGCTGGCTTTCTGAAAAAACTCACCACCTTATTGTTTTATTGTGGCATATCTCTGAACATCTGTGTTTGGATGCCCATCTGGGAAGCCACATGTGTGGGAAGGACCCAACCATCACATTCTGGATCCAGGGTCCCCGGTTCTCTAGGCTCTGTCCCATCCATTTCTCATCAGTCATCGTTAGCCCTGGTGTGGTGCTGCCGGCTAATGCGTCAGAATGCAAAGTCGGTGGTTCAAGCTCAATAGCGGCTCCTTGGAAACCCTATACAGGGTCGCTATGGGTCGTAATCGACTCAACAGCACTTAACACGCTTAGTCATTCTTGAACAATTCGTTTGTAAAGTCTGGAAGAAGTCCCTGGGTGGTGTAAACGGTTGGGAGTGCTCAGGTGCTGACCTCAAGATTGGAGGTTCGACTCCACTCAGAGGACACCATGCTTGATAAAGTAGAGTTAGCGGAGAAGAGGAAGATTCTCAATGATTGGTACAGTGCCTGCAATAGGGGCCTCAAGCATAAACAATTGTGAGGATACGCAGGGCAAGGCAGGGTTTCAGTCCACTGTACATAGGGCCGCTATGAACTAGAACCAACTTGACGGCACCAAATAACAACAACATTTAGTTACTGAGAAGTAGCCCTGGTGATGCAGTGCTTAAAGCACTCGGCAGCTGCTCCAAGGGAAAAGGATGTGTGTGACAGTCTCCTTCTGTAAAGATAGACAGCCTCAGAAATCCTGTGGGGCACTTTGATGGCGAAGAGTTGTTTTTGTTTTATATTACTAAACTTTCTCTCCTCACCCAATTCAGCTTCTTGGATAATTGGCATTTGATGAATCTATGCTGCTTGAACTAATTAAATGGCTGTTTTTGTCCTTGGAGTTCCCTGGGTGGTACAAATGGTTGGCACCCAATTAAAACCTAAAGGTTGGTGGCTCAAAACCACCCAGCAGTGCCATGAAGAAATACCTGGAGATTTGTTTCTGTAAAGATAAACCCCCAAACCCTACTGCCGCTGAGTCAAACTGCTCCATAGGATTCCTAAGACCATAAAGTCTTTACCGAAGCAAATTGCCTTATCTTTATCCCACAGAGCGGCTGGTGGGTTGGAACCACCAACCTTTCAGGTATCAGCACGATGCTTAACCCACTGTTCCACCAGGGTAAGAAAACCCTCTGGAACAGTTGTCCTCTGTAACAGATGGGGTCACCATGTGTTGGAAGCAGCTTGATGGTTGTGGTTTGTTGTTTTCTTTCCCTGTCCTTGAGGAAATAGGTTTCCTGCTACCCATCCAGTTCTCAGTACAGGCTGAGCTTTTTTATCATTGATGAGTTTACAGTTCAGAAGGTCATTCTCCACTCGCTTTCTATCTTTACTACCAAGCTCTTTAGCCTCTCCCTGTTACATAGCTGTGCACTTATCATGGGGTCCAATAACATCTTTCTTAATGCATCCGTACCCTGGTCCCAGATGCTTGGGTGTCTCCTGACCTGCCCCCCTCGGGAAATAAATTTCTAATAGCTTTGCTGATAGATTCGATCCAGCATGGCAGTTATCTTGTTTCGGCACAATCTGGTATTCAAATCACTGTGTACACTGTGCCTATCTCCAAATGCACCCTGAACTTTCTCTCCCTCTCTTGTGGGATGGGTTAACTGAAATACCGCTGACCCGACACCTTTGGAAAGCAATTATGCCCCATTTTTTCGTATCCTCCGATCCAGTAATTCCACTCCTAGGCACATTATTGTACACAGGAAACATGTACAATAATGTTCTCAATGGCAAACATCTGCAGTTGGAGGATGGAATGAGAGATTCTGCTCTAATCCCTCAAAGAAATAGTGCTGTTGTTAAGCGCTGTTGAGTAGGTTCCGACTCATCGCAACCCTGTATAGGGTTTCCAAGGAGAAGTTTCTGTGTTTGATTCCCCCAACCTTTTGGTTAGTAGTCCAGTGCTTATCCAACAATGAGACCCCAGAAATATTATACAGTAGAAAATGTACAAATGACAATTACATGGTTATTAAATGCCACTGAGTCGGTGCCAATTCATTGCGACTCTGTACAGAAAGACTTAAAAACACAATGGTGTTGTTAGCTGTTGAACCAGCTCCTAAACCCATGCACAACAAACAGAAAAAAGACACCACCTGGTCCCATGCCAGCCCCATGGACAGTTGCAGATTGGACTGTTGGATTTCATTGACTGGTTTTTTTGAAAGTGGAACTGCAGGCCTTTTTTTCCCTGGTCTGTCTTAGTGTGGAAACGCTGCTAAAACTGACTCAGCGTCCTAGCAACTCTCAGGTCTCCACTGACCTTTCAGTTAGCACCTGAATGCTTAACTACTGCTCTATTAGGGATCCTTGCAAATGATAATAAAATATGCAGTATTCTATTATGAATTCTTCATAGCCTACTTTAAGTTATATTTCATAAGATATTTTCCTATTTTGTGTATATTGTTTTGTTGTTAAAGTGCTGTCAAGTTGGTTCCAACTTACAGTGAACCTATATAGGGTGTTCAAGGCTTGAAATGTTTGTGGGAGCAGTTACGAGTCGGGCTGTGAACTGCAAGGTCAGCAGTTCGAAACTACCAGCTGTTCCGCAGGAGAAAGATGAGGCTTTCTGTTCCCGTAAAGATTTACAGCCTCGGAAACCCTATACAGGGTCGCTATGAGTCGGAACCGACTCCACGGCTCATAACAACAACATATATAAAAAATAACCATATCATAAAAACAACAACAGTTTTAAGTGTAGTTCATCATAACTCGACTACATTGAAAGTCAGGGTCTACCTGTAGTAGAAAAGCAGCTAAGATAATATCTAAACAAATGGACATATCTGTGTTCCAATCAAACTTTATTTATAAAAGCAGGTAGAGGGCCATTGTATGCCAAACCATAGTCCAGACTTAAGAATGTGCTGGAGAAAATGTGAAAATTTTTAATGTTTTGAATCTGTAGTGGTTATATTGTGAATAATACAAAAAATTGGAAGAAATATTCTTCCAGAGTTCAAAAATTATTACCTGATTTATCAAAGAAGTTCAACTGTTGATCTCTCCCTGTATAGATCGAAGAAGAGTGAGGAAAGCCGAAGACACATGGAAACACTCAGCCTCCACTACCCTGAGACCTAGATGGTGCCCAGCTACCACTGCCAACTGCTCTGAAAGGAATCGCATTGGGAAGAGTGGGGGGAAAACCAAAACTCAAAATAATGAAGAAGACCAGGCCTAGTGGTCGCATAGAGATGGATGGAACCTCTGAAACTGTGGCCCTTTGTCACCCTTCAGGTCTGGAGCTGATCTGACCTCCAGGGCTCACTTTCAGCCAAACAGCACAGTCGTTGTATGAAGGGAGCAGTAATTCACTAGTGTTCTATTGTAAAGTCCATAGAGCCTCTTACACCAAGTTGTTACTGTTGGCTGCTGTCCAGTCAGCCCCCAGATTATGGTGATCCCATATACGATGCGATCAGACTCTTGCGATCCATGGGGTTTTCATTGGCTGATACTCAAAAGTAGATTGCCAGACCTTTCTTCCTAGTCTTCATCTAGCAGCTCTGCTGAAAGCTATTCAGCTTCATAGCAGTACACAAGGAGGTGCCCTGGCCAGGAATCAAACTTGAGTCTCCCATCTGGAGGGCGAGGATTCCACTACTGAAGCATCACACCACCACACACACACATACACACACAAGCTACAAGAGTTAAACAAAAATCAACAAAACCATTTGACGAGAGTCAAGTGGCTATATGGAATATTTTATTATCACTTGCAAGGAGCCCTGGTAGCACAGTGGGTAAACACTCAACTACTAACCCAAAGGTCAGTGGTTCAAACCCATAAGCAATTCCACAGGAGAAAGATGGGACCGTCAGCTTACATAAAGATGACAGCTTTGGAAACCCTCTGGGGCAATTCCACCCTGTCCTCTGAGACGACACCAACTCCAAGGCAGTGGACATTATGATTCCAGTGTTGTTAATCACTGCCCAGTCCAGTCCCCTGTCAACCATCAGCCACTCATTTACTTGCCACCTCTCAGAGTGTGAAGTGTCTTTTGTGACCAGCTTCTGGTTGTACCAGTGACATACAGTGACAGATGAAAGTGACAGACGGGTTTTGATGCTACAGTGCAATCTCTCATATCAAAGTTCCAAACTCAAGGTTTGTAGACAGAGTTAAGACTTTTTTTTTTTTAAACAGGGGCAATTAAAAACCTCCCCGCCCTAGTTAGCTCACTTGGGTGTGTGAGTG